TCAAGCGATTCACCTGATAATCACGTCGGGGTCACCAAATTAAATGTTAATGAATTAACATCTAAGGAAATGAATTGACAGCACTTAAACTGTAACTCTTTAATTAAAGGTTGAGTTTTCAGCACTTGAACTGAAACTCTGGAAATGAAAGTGAGAGATCGAATATTGGTTTCAATCTGATTTTTATTAAATTAAATTTTTCCTTAAATACTAAATTATTACAAATTATTACAATAACAATATCTAAATTTTATTCTTTTCCTTTACCGTCTTCTTGCCTAAAGTGCAAGCTCAGCATATATTATGCAACCAAATTCTTTGTTGTGTCTAGCAACCAAGAATTAACGCCAATGCACTGGCCTTGATATATGTTACATATTCAAAGTTCAGTGCCACTGCACTTAATAAAAAATATAATGCAAATATTCAAGTTCAGTGCCACTGCATTTTACCAAATTAAATAATGCAAAGGAAAGTCAAAGTTTGGATATTGCTAACATCAGCATATATGTTTAAATTTTACAAATATTGTACAATAATAACAATAGCAATAATAATAATATTTTACAATAATAATAATAATAATATTTTACAATAATAATAATAAAATGTGTGAACAATAATAAAAAAAATAGTTCAAAAAACTTTATAAATGATATATATATATTATTTATATGAGATAATTAATTTTTTTATTTGTTCGCCACTTAGCTGTTGTTGATGTTGCTGTTTTGATGCTGCTTTTTGTGGAGCTTTTATAAATTCTGGATAATCAATTGCTGTAAATCAAGTGCTGTATCACCCAAAAACGATGTAAAATGAGATCACTTAGAGCAACTAATTCCTCACCAAAAAAAATCTTTTCTTCAATAAGTTGTTTTTGCCCTTCAGTAGGTTGTTTTTTGCTGTCTTGCTCATGCCAGTGAATAAGTGATTTTGTTAATTCACAACCATCTAATTTATAAACATTCACTGATAAATTTGGATTTTAGTTTTTTATTTTTGCTATTTTAAAAACATTTAAATTAACAAGATCAGTTTAGAAATTTCTACACAAATTAAATAAAATTGTATGTAGCGTACATTATTCTTTTAATTTTTCTTTGTTTCACTGATAAACTTGACTTTTGTTTTTTTTCATATTTTTGTTAATAGTTTTTGGTTAATAATTTTTTTTAATAATTTTTGTTTATACCTTTTGTTTAATTTTTTTTGTTAATAATTTTTGTTAATAATCTTTGTTAATAACTTTTGTTTAATTTTTGGTAATAATTAATAATTTCTTTGTGAATAAGAACACGATATACTTATTCGACTTTTAAAAAAAACTGACCCACGTTTTACTTCCGCTAGATATTTTATATCCCCGTTCTTTTCGGGTCAACGTTTGGAAGTTTGGCTAGCTAACGTTCATTCTAAAACCATTCGCTCAGATACTCTTACAACATATGAGCTTTCACCATACTTAACATCCACACTCTTAAATACTTTAATGTGCACACTTAGCATCCACATAGCAACACAGCCAAAAAAAAATACCCGTAAATTACATTAACATTTATCGCAACAAGCTGTTACCTTATACCTAGCGACAGCATTGGCTAATTCCAGACAAAATTAGACTAAGCCCTCCAAATGTGTGTCAACTTCATCAGAGAAGGAGACTTGAACTCGAAGGTCATTGAAGTGAAAACAACTGGTTCGTGGTGGCGAGGCAAGTGGAGGCAGTACTCTATGCAAAAAAGAGGCGCCTGGACACAGGTAGACATTCAGAGCACCATAAAAGTTGGTTTCTGCTGTACTGTTTTTTATTGAACTGTTATAACAAATATGGAGATATAAGGATATGTGGATATATGGAAAGGTGTATATACGTTCAGCATATTTAGCTCAAAAGTGAATTGCAGTATAGATGTATATTGAATAATAACACCTAAAATAGTCACATCGCCTAAGTTTTTTTTATTCATATTGTTTTTTTTTTTTTGTTTTAATTTATATTGGCTTCTTGGGAAAAAAATCACCCGTCTCTCTAAACAATAAATTAATGATATACAAGCAAGTCTTAGCTCCGATGTGGACGTATGAAATCCAGTTATGGGATGTGCACCAAAATCCTCTATTCAATTCATTCAAAACTTTCAAAATAAAGTTTTAAGAAATTTAGTCAACGCTCCGTGGTTTATTAGGAATATTGACCTCCATCGGGATTTGAAGATCGAATCAGTGGCTGCAGTAATTCAAAAGTTCGCGGTAAAGCACCAAAAACGATTACAACAGCATCCAAACGAGACAGTCAACCATCTGTCTAATACAACTGGCCTGCTGAGGAGACTTAAACGAACTAAGCCTTCAGATCTACTACGGAATTAGTAGTCTAATAATAATTTAGATTACTACTATTAGCACTAAGTCTTTGACAACTTGACAATTCTAATAAGTATTCTGAAATATAACAAAACTGCTTTATAGTTCTTTGTATGAACTAGTCGTAGTGCAATGAAACATGTATTTATATTATTGTACATATTGTGTTTCAAATAATAAAAAAAAAAAATACAAAACCTTAATTTTTACATGCGTTAATATTTTTATTAGTAAGTTTTTTTTAAGATTTAATTTAAGATTTAATTTAAGATTTAATTTTAATTCTTAAAATTTGTTATTTATTATTTTCACGTAAAAGAATTTGTTTTTTTTTTAATCTGTTACTAAAGAAATTTGAAAAAATATAGTTATTATTAGAATGGTTACTTATAATTACAATTATATAAAAATAATAATGCTGAAAATTCGAAAGTTACATAAATTGTACCCATTGTAAATTTGCTTGCTAAACACATCAGGTGTTTGATTCTTTTTTTTTACAATTTTGTTACTTTCTCTAATTTTTTTGTAGCTAGGAACATCAGCGCATGGAGTGACGTCACTGCTACGATGCTGGTAAGTGTTCTACCAATAGAGTAATTAAAATATAAATATAAAAAAAAAATACAAACAAGGTGATGCATAGGAAGCTATTTATTTTTTTTTATTTTTATTATATTTATCTGATTTTATTTTTATATATATATATGGTTGTGTATTAAAATTCCTTTGTAAATATCTTATGAATTTTTTTTTTGTTTACATTAATATACTAATAACAATTGAGAAAAGTTTATTAAAAATGAAACTTTGTTTTACATATAAGTAAATTTTAATGTTTTTTTAATTATGAATTTATATATGAATATATTGGTTTTTATTATATAAATAGAGCTTATATTTAAGGTGTAAAAATTTTAAATTCAATTTTTTTTGTTTGTTTTCTTTTGTTGCTCTTAAACATAAGTGACAGATATAATTTTTTTTATAGAAATAGCCTAATCATGGTCAGATAAATTATAGGCTCTATGGGTAGTACAGGGACATACCACGAGGTATGTGGAAGGTGAAATGTTATTGAACTAATAATACATATAAAACATTTGACAGGACTGAAAGACAGGGTTACTGGGAGGGGTAAAAATCTATTGGTTTACATAGATTACTTACTTAGTTGGCCATTACAGACGTGTGTCGTCCTTGGCTGCGTCGAGTAGCCATCGCCAGTCAGCCCGATTAGTTGGTTTCTGACGCCAGTTGGTAGTACCGAGCGCCCCCAAATCGTTGGTCACCTGGTCCTTCCACCGAAGATGCGAACGACCTCTACCGCGTTTTCCACCTGCGGGTACCGAATCAAATACCTTTTTAGCCGGAGCACTTTCTTCCATTCGCACGACATAACCAAGCCAGCGTAGCCGCAGAATTTTTATGCGCTTAACTATGTCAATGTCGCGGTATAGCTCATACAGCTCATCGTTCCATCTAATTCTTCTCCGAAGAATTTTTCTCTCGAATACTCTCAACGCCTTCTCATCACTGTTGGTAATTGTCCAAGCTTCTGCACCATACAACAGGACAGGTATGATAAGGGATTTGTAGAGCGTGATTTTTGTTTGTCGAGAGAGGCAATTGAGAAATAACAATTGCTTACTTAGCCCGAAGTAACATTTGTTGGTAAGAGTAATTCTTCGTTGAATCTCTAGGCTGACGTCATTTTTGGTGTTTAAGCTGGTTCCTAAATAAATAAAGTCTTTCACAATTTCGAACTTATAATTGTCAACAGTGACGTAGGTCCCAAGACGCTCAGGAGATTTGTTTGTTGACAGAAAGTACTTTGTTTTGTCCTCATTTACCACAAGACCCATTTGCTTTGCTTGTTTCTCTAAGTTGGAAAATGCCACACTGACGACGCGGGTGTTCAGACCAATGATATCAATATCGTCGGCATACGCAAGCAGCATTACACTTTTGTAGAATATTGTGCCAGTACGGTTTAAATCTGCTGCTCGAATTATCGTTTCCAACATTAGGTTAAAGTAATCACGCGACAAGTAGTCACCCTGTCTGAAACCTCGTTTAGTATCAAACGGCTCGGAGAGGTTCTTTCCAATTCTAACGGAGCTGGTGGTGTTGCTCAACGTCATTTTACATAGCCGT